GGGGCCTGCTCCAAGCTCAGCAGATCGCAAGGATTAAGCCAAAATACACCCCGACACCGAGCCAATCCCTCTGCTGCCTAAAGCCTGTGTTTTTGGACGATCCTGGGCGCTGTTAACGGGTAGATAGATGAAAGTGCGTCTTTTACTCCTTGTCCAGCAGTGGGCAGCGGGGCCAGAGCCCGGCCGATGGTCTGCAGTACTTGGGAACCCCTTTGGAAAGAAGATGGGAAGTTGGGGGAGAGATGCTCTTGAGTGCCTTGACCCCAACTGCAAGAACGAGGAAGGCAGGGCTTCCAGTGGTGGAGGAGAAACTTTGCAACTCAGGGTTGAAACCAGGCCCCTGGGTGCTCTCTGAGCTGGATGGTTTCCTTGCAGGTGTCTCATGAGCCAGCTAGAAGTCTACAAATGGAGAGCAAACCTCACCCCCTTCCAGCACCGATAATGCTATCCAGTGGGGTCGCGAGAGGTCTTCAAGAGGACAACCCAGCTCGGAGAGCACCCAGGACCCAGAGTACAGGACTGCCTATTTCTGGGGCCAGGGTGCAGGCAAACTTCAGCGCCACCCGGGGCGGCCAAGGGGGTGCCGGCCACTGCATTTGGGGAGCTCCTTCCTTTGATCTCGGGGGTCCCGTCGGGTTGCGCCTTGCCAGGCTGCTCCCCGGAGGCTCCTGGTTGCCGGCAGCAGCAAAGGCGCCGAGTTTATGCTCCAAGCCACCGCGATCCAGACTTTTCCTGACCTTTTCCAGAGCACGTGGCGAAAGACGTGCCTTCGCACGGGAACCAGGGTCCCGTTCTGAATGCTGCCTTGTTTTTTAACTTTCCTAATAAGGGAGTCTTTATTGCCTTGACACTTCGTGGAAAGAAAGCGTCCGGGGATTAAAAGAATGTCGTTGCGCCTTTCGCCCTTCGAGTGTCATCTGGGCCTCGGTCCCACTTCTTAATCAAGCCCAGAACAGGAGACCCTCCCAGTCATCAGAAAGTCCCCGTGACTGCAGATCTTCTGTGCTCCACTCTGCGGACGGGCAGGCTCAGCTCCGGGTCTCTCTGCCCGGCCTCCGGGTTTGGGTGGCATCTGTGTCACCGTGTCCCGGGTTCACACGATCCCCTTTTGCACCCTTCTGAGCAGCAAAGCCTGCAGGGAGGCCCTAGTCACCAAACAACCGTGTGACCAGCTTAGCAGCTGCCGTGGTTGACTTAACAAGACAGGTCATAAAACGGGGCCAAACTCATTCAACCAGTTCCTCACTGAGCTACAGAAACGGTGGGCTCAATTGTGGTTGTAAGCCGAGGACTGTGTGGCTGTCCTGGGTGATGGTGGTTGTGGTTGAGGAAGGGGGGGCAATGTCCTCGGCCAAGACGGGAGGGAAGGCGGGAGGGAGTGCCACATGGAAAGCCAGTTCTTGGCCCGATATTTGGTGAAGGCCCTGGAGGGAGGGAGGGAATCTCCCGAGAAGAGCAGCTCACAGAGTGAAGGGGGGGGGAGAAAAGGGCCTTTGCCCCTCCAGATTACTCCGGGATCCCCCCAAGATTTTACTGTGGCTGAAATGTAGATCAGTCAGAATGCCCTGAGATTATTTTCGAGGATCCCGGAGTCGCACTTACAGGCGGTCCAAGGGACGCCAAGGTGGACCCTCCCATAGGCGGTCGCTTAGCACTGTTGAGCGACACTTGGGAGGTTACCACCAACGAATCTTGGGTAAGGGAGACCATAAGATACGGTCTCGCTCTAGAATTTATAACCACCCCTCGATTTATTCAGTGTCCCACCTCAAGAAACAAGGCCGAGTTGGTATCCACGGCCATATCCCATCTTTTAGAAATAGAAGCCATCGAACCAGGACCTCGGAAGCACAGAGAGGACGGGGATTTTACTCCGTTCTGTTCGTGGTCCCCAAGGCCTCGGGGGGTGGGGTGGGGTTGGAGGGCCATATTGGATTTAAAGGGACTCAGTTACTTCCTAACCTACAGGAGGTTCAAGATGCAGTCCCTCAAATCCATTCTGGGCAGTATCAGCAAAGGGATTTCCTCTCTTCTATAGACCTGACAGAGGCGTACCTCCATGTCCCTATCCTCCCACAACACCGCAGATTCCTCCGGTTTTGTTACGCAGCCTTTTCTCAGCGCTTCGAAACAAAACCCATCTTCCATTTCACCCCCATCCTCCCCCCCCCCCCCAGCTTCAACGTTCCCCTGTCCCCCACAAGGCAGCCCGAGAGACTCTGCCCCACTCGGGGTAGGCAAGTGCGAGGAGGCCGTTGTTTATAACCAGGATACGCCGCCCGTGCTAAACAACGCAGCTCGGCTACGAGATCTGTTGTATACACTTGTGGATGATTGCAGATGGTTTTGTTTTGCATAATTCTGTTTTGTTCCCTATTAAGAAGGAGGAACTTCATAATACTGGCTTTAAAATAATCCAGAAAGTCTTTGGCAGAAAGGAATAGGAATGGGGGGGGGCGGCTAAAGAAGCTCTGTGGATGCCTTTCCAGACACGTTCTGTGGAAACGCAGGCGTGATCTTTCCTTTCACCGTGAAATCTGAGGGCCTGACAGGCCCAGATGCTCGTGGCGCCGTCCTCGAGACGAAAGCCCGGGGTCTTCTGAACCGGGCCCTGCTCTCCGCAAGATGACACGCTTGCAGCTTTCTCTAACTGGGACCCAGGTGGGGAGTGGGACTCGTGTCCCAGAATGCACCACATCCCCTTGGCTTGTCTTAGCATGACAGCTGGGTAACCAAACAAGGCATAATTCCAGTCTGTCAATTAAGCCATTCTCTGATTAAGGCCAGCTTGTTGGAAGGCTTGGCTGGAAACCTCTTGCAGAATTAGCCCTACTAGCTGACCCTCTCCTCTTTGTGGCAGCCCCTCAAATTTTGGAATGGCGCTGGATGGCTTACTGAATGTCCAGGCCAGGGGTGGGCAACCTTGGCTCTTTTATGATGTGTGGGCTTCAACTCCCAGAATTCCTGAAGCCCACACGTCATAAAAGAGCCAAGGTTGCCTACCCCTGGTCCAAGCTTTTCCTTGCCATGGTGTGGACGTACTTTCCGGATCTCCTGCTCCAGGGGTCTCCCGTGGAAGGATTGACCCGGCCTGACCTTGCTTAGCTTTTAGGCCTGGATGGAACAGCATCTGCCGAAGGCAAATTGGGAAGCACCTTTTGGTGGTCACCTTCCGTTGCGTAGGAAGACGTTTGCCTTGCTCCAGAATCAGCAGCTGTAGAACCCTCACTCCAAGGAAGGGGCAAACAGAGCCAGCATTCACAAGAGGTCCCCCTCAAAGAGGGGAGGCTGCAGCAGCAGAGCCCATCTCCCTTCACTAGACCCCCACCTGGTCGTCAGGACGTGGCCCCGGTCTGGTTTTGCAGGGCAGGGCTGTGAGTGTAAGAGGAACACAATGAATAGACCGTTAGATGTTGGACTGCGGCTTTGTAGAGGAGTCCTATCAGCAAGGCCTTCTCCTCGGGGGACGTGAGTCCCCAGTTTTGGGCTGGAGGTTGTAATGATGATGATGATGGTGTTGGAAGGGACCCTGGAGGTCATCTGGTCCAACCCCCCGCTGAGGCAGGAAACCCTGTACCATTTCAGACAAATGGCTGTCCAGTCTCTTCTTTCAAACTTCCAGAGTTGGAGCATTCACCGCTTCTGGAGGCAGGTAGTTCCACTGGTTATTTGTTCTAACTGTCGGGAAGTTTCTCCTTAGTTCCAGGTTGCTTCTCTCCTTGATCAGTTTCCATCTGTTGCTTCTTGTCCTGCCGTCAGGGACTTTGGAGAATAGCTTGACTCCCTCTTCTTTGGGGCAGCCCCTGGAATACTGGAACGCTGCTATCCTGTCCCCTCTTGTCCTTCTCTTCATTGAAGTAGACCTACCCAATTCCAGCAGTCTTTCCTTATATGTTTTAGCCTCCAGTCCCCTGATCATCTTTGTTGCTCTTCTCTGCACTCTTTCCAAAGCCTCAACATCTTTTTTACATCGTGGTGACCAAAACTGGATGCCGTATTCCAAGTGTGGCCTTACCAAGGCCTTGTAAAGCGGTATTAACCCTTCATGTGATCCTGATTCTACCCCTCTGTTGATGCAGCCTAGCACTGTGTTGGCTTTTTTGGCAGCTGCAGCGGGCGGCAAAGATGCTTTTGGCCCTTGTACCTGGTGCTGTGTCTTCTGAGTTTATTGGGGGCATAAACAAACACAGTTTAAAAGCTCTCTGATGCTGCCCCTTTGGCAGCGCCTGGCTGAGGAATTCTGGGAGTTGAAGTCCACAAGTCATCCAAGGGCCAAGTTGAAAGACCCCTGCTCTAGTCTAACCCCCTCCTCCTTGGCTCCACTTCCAGCCGCTGTCGGGTCAGGGATAAAGGGGAAACTGAGTCGCTCACATCTGCTGAGTAAACCAAGCGGGTCAGGGATAAAGGGGAAACTGAGTCGCTCACATCTGCTGAGTAAACCAAGCAGCTGGCAGTTGAATCTTCACCGGGACCACACACTCGGATGAAATCTCAGGTTAATGAACCTCCTCCTAGCAGACCCTGAACACAACAGTCAAACATTCTGCTTGGACATCCCCCCCCTGCCCTCCAAATGACAGACCGGTCTGTTGCATCTGTAGGAGCATGGCTGGCTGGGGAATTCTGGGAGCTGAAGTCCCCAGGTCTTAAAGTTGCCAAGTTTGGAGACCCCAGGGTTAGTTTATATCAGTGGTTCTCAAATAGTGGGGCGGGCCCCCCAGGGGGGGCGCGAGGCTCCGTAAAGGGGGGCTCGTTTGACCTCGGCAAATACTGTCATATTGGACGCACGTGACACACGCAAAGGACCCGATTGGATAGACAGTCACGCGGGGGGGCGCGAAATGTTTTCTTCTTCCTAGGGGGGGCATGACAGAAAATAATTGAGAACCACTGGTTTATATCCTTCTGCGTATGATGTGAACTCAGAAAACAGGTTAATTCAGCGTTTCAGCAGACGCTGCCTGCCTGCCTGCCTGCCTAACCCCTTCTGCTTTACCCAGGTCTGTCTATGACGGTGCAGAACATGGACGCTTCATGGAGAAGCTGGACGCTCGCATCCGGAATCACGACCGGGAGATCGAGAAGATGTGCAACTTCCACTACCAGGGCTTTGTGGACTCCATCACGGAGTTCCTGAAGGTCCGGGCAGAGGCCCAGAAGCTGAAGGTAAAGGGTGGGGGTCAGCCAAGGGCAGTTTCAAGAGGCTAACGTGGCGTGGAGCATCTCGGGGGCCAGATGAGTCCAAGTTAGTCACCTGGGAGAAGGCCAGCGAGGGACTGAGGGCGCAACTCTATCGTCTGTCTGTCTGTCTGTCTGTCTGTCTGTCTATCTATCTATCTATCTATCTATCTATCTATCTATCTATCTATCTATCATCTATCTATCCATCCATCTATCTATCTATCTATCTATCATCTATCTATCTAATTCTATCTATATCTATCTCTATTATCTTCTATCCATCCACCCAGGTGGTGAATGATGGCCCCTTTATAATTTGTGGACTTCAACTCCCAGAATTCCCCAGGCAGCGTACTCTACAGTCTAGACCAGGGGTAGGCCACCTTGGCTCTTTTATGACTCGTGGACTTCAACTCCCAGAATTTCTGAGCCAGCCTGGCTCAGCTTGGAAACTTCTCCCTTTCCCCTCAGCATTCTGGGAGTTGAAATCCACGAGTCATGCAAGAGCCAAGGTTGCCTACCCCTGGCCTAGGCCTAGGCTGCTTTAGGACTCGTGGACTTCAACTCCCAGAATTCCTGAGTCAGCATGGCTCAGCTTGGAAACCTCTCCCTTTCCCCTCAGCATGGCTGGCTCAGGAATTCTGGGAGTTGAAGTCCACCAGTCATGAAGTGTCCATCATTCCCCACCTCTGATCTATATCTGTCATCATCCATCCAGTTTGTGCTCCCAGCAACTCGGGGTGGGGGGGCTCGCCTCACAGGCTAAAAAATAGCCCTTCCAAACTTTCTTTTACAGAATCAAGTCACGGATACCAACCGGAAGCTGCAGCTGGAAAGCAAGCAAGTACGGAAGCCTCGGCTCCTCTCTTTGAAGCCTTTGTGGCCATTTTATTTACGGGCATTCCTCAGCTTGGGACTGCAGCTGGGACCAGAACGGCAAACGTAGAGCACAGAAGCGGAGGGCTGGCGGGGGCCTAAAATGCTGGAGGAGCGTATCGATCAGGCCAGGGGTGTGGGAATCCATCCCTCCAGTCTGTGCTTTAGCTCGGCCCAGGCGCTGGCTCTTGGTGGCCGAACCCTGGCCCACCCAGCTGCTTGCCCCTTCAGCCGGTCTGGAGGCCGGCCGGGGTTGGCTGTGCATGCATGTGGTCCCTCCGCTGGCTCCTGGCTCTCAGCCAGCCCCTCTGGGGAGGGAAGGGGGCTGGGGCTGCCTGGGGTGATAAGGCCCGTCTCTCTCTGTTGCAGCTGGTGGGCGCCATGGAGGAGCTGAGCCAGTGCCGGTTGCAGCAGTGGAACATCTCTGCCACGGTGGACAAACTCACCCAGTGCCTTCCCGGTGAGACAGAGACCCGCAGCGGAGGACGGAGGCGCCCGGAGACGCTCTCCTCCTCCTCCTCCTCCTGACCTCTGCCTTTGTTTTTGTTCCTTCCGCTAGTTCTGGAGATGGAGAACAAGCTAAGGGAGCAGATGAAGTCCAAAAGGTAGGAGGCGCTCCTGGGCGGCTCCGAGTTTCAGCCAGGGACCGAGGAAGGTTCCGGAGGTTGGGCTTGATTAACCACGGAGCCCTGGCGGTGCAGTGGTAAGAGTGCAGCATTGCAGGCTGACTCTGCCCACTGCCGGGAGTTCGATCCTGACTGGCTCAAGGTTGACTCAGCCTCTTCCGTCCTTCTGAGGTCGGTAAAATGAGGACCCGGATTGTCCCGGGGGGGGGGGCAAGAGGCTGCCAACCGCTTAGAGAGGGCTGAAAAGCACGGTGAGGCGGTATATAAGTCTTATGGCTCTTGTTATTAACACAAAGATCTGTGAGGGGTGGAATATAATGCTGGGAGGGGCCCGGCCCAGCTGGGGCTCACCCATAAACCGGGGGTCCCCAGTCGTGGCAGCTTTGAGACTTGGGGATTTCCGCCAAACTCAAGAAGGAGGGTGAGCTTCTCGCTCTTCTTATTGACTCTGGGGTGGCTTTACTCCCACGTGTGCTTCTTTTTCCAGAGTCACCGTTGTGAGTGGGGCAGCTTTGTAAATTGATGTAATAAATGAGAAATAAATAATATCCCAGCCCCTTGATTCCCTTTTCCTGCTTTAAAAACACTATAAGGTTTAATGTGAGTTTGAACTTATGAATAGAGTTCATTAAATCATTGCACCAACAGTTTCTGGGGACAAATTTATTTTATTTATTTATTTATTTATGAGACTTATATACCGCTTTAAGTGCAAGCACTCTCTAAGCGGTGTACACCAGTAAGCCATGTATATATATATTTACATTGCCCCCAACAATCTGGGTCCTCATTTTACCTACCCCGGAAGGATGGAAGGCTGAGTCAACCTTGAGCCGGTGAGATTTGAACCGCTGACCTGCTGAACACAGTCAGCTAAAGTGGCCTGCAGTACTGCACCCTAACTGCTGCGCCACCTCGGTGCATTCTCTTTTTGTTTTTGTTTCTCTGGCTTGGTGAGTTCCCCTGATTTGCATTTGCAGTTTTTCTTGGAAAACATTTTCCTTATTAAGGAAAAGACGGTTTCTTTCAGATGGCCGTTGGGCCATTGCAGTCAATACTAAGGGGGGGACCCCGTCTTTTGCTCATAACCGCTCCTTAAGAAGGGGGCACGAGGCTTGAGGCTCCCCTGGACATCAGGGCCCCGGGGTACTCGTGAACACTTCTGTGGGCCAAGGGGGGGGGAGTGGGAACCGATTGTGTGTCTTTGTGTGTGTATGTGTGTCTTTGTGTGTGTGTGCATGTGTGTTTCCACAGCCCTTGGCGGATCTTCTCTTTCGCCATTTCTCTGTAATATTTCCTCCTTTCTCCCCGCTTGGGGCTCATTTTTGTGTGACTCTGGCTTGATTCTAAGGAGTGGCCACCCCCTAATAGACAGGAGGAGGAGGTGGGAGGACTCCTTTACACAGGCTGTCCTCGACTTACCACACTTCGTTTAGTGACCATTCACCACAGCACTGAAAAAAGCGGCTTAGGACCATTTTCCACACTTACGACTGTTGCAGCCTCCCTGTGGTCACACGATCAAAATCCAGGCGCTGGGTGACTGGCTCATATTTACGACGGTCACAGGGTCCTAGGGGTATGTGTGTGTCAAAGGATCCCCTTTTGCGACCTCCCGACAAGCGAAGTCCGTGGAGGAAGCCGGATTCGCTTCACAACCCTGTTGCTAACTTAACAACTTGCAGGGATGGACTTAACCCCTGTGGCAAGAAAGGTCGTAAACTAGGGCAAAACTCATTTAAAACGGTCTCGCTTAGCAACAGAAACAGGCTCAATTGTGGTCGTAAGTCACGGACTCGCCTGTATGCGGTTTGTCGTCTTATCAGTGGGGAGATAATTAGGGCTGGTAAAGTTCAGCACCCCCCTCCCCATCTCGGGGTGACCAGTTCAGTGGGATGAACAGCTTAGGCCAGGGGTAGGCCACCTGGGCTCTTTTCTGACTGGTGGACTTCAACTCCCAGAATTCCTGAGCCAGCCATGCTGAGGGGAAAGGGAGAGGTTTCCAAGTTGAACCATGCTGGCTCAGGAATTCTGGGAGTTGAAGTCCACGAGTCATGAGGGGGCCTAGGCCTAGGCCAGGGGTAGGCAACCTTGGCTCTTTTATGACTGGTGGACTTCAACTCCCAGAATTCCTGAGCCAGCCTGGCTCAGCATGGAAACCTCTCCCTTTCCCCTCAGCGTGGCTGGCTCAGGAATTCTGGGAGTTGAAGTCCACGAGTCATAAAAGAACCAAGGTGGCCTAGCCCTGGCTTAGGGGGTTCCTGGCGTCGTGAAGGCTCCGCGAGCTTTAGAGTCCCCTGATGGCTGGTGGGTGGGTGGGTATGTGAGCTGCCTTACCTGCCCCTGAGCCAGCTGGGTCCTTCCTTCTTTCCTTCCAGGCATTATCCCGCCCTGAAGACCTTAGAGCACCTGGAGCGGATGTGTTTGCCGCAGGTCAGCCATTACTGCTTCTGCAAGGTCCTGGTGGAGAACATTCCGAAGCTGCGGGAGGAGATCAAGGAGGTTTCCATGTCTGACCTCAAAGACTTCCTAGAGAGCATCCGTAAACACTCGGACAAGATTGGGGAGACGGCCATGAAACAGGTGAGGTCACCAAGGACGTTGGCTGTGAGCCCTCTTTCCTCCCCTCGTCTCGTCCCGAGCCTTTTCCCTGCGTGAGTTCCCGAGGGCTGCTGAACCCCCCTTCCAGATCTCAGGCAGCCTGAAGCCTCAGCTGCTGAGAAGGTCAGCCAGAGGCTGTGGCTTGCCCGCCCCTGTTCATGCCCTTGCTCAGATGCCCCTGGCCAGCCCCTGTGGGACGCAGAAGGCTGGGCTGGATGGCCTCAGGGCTCTCCCTCTGGGGCTGGCGTACACTGCTGTAGCCTCGAACGCTGGACAACGCAGGCAGTGCTAGCTGGGCCTGCTTTCCGTTTTCTAGCTTTGGAAGATGATTTATTTCTTTTATTTATAACATTTATAGGCTGCCCCTCTTACCTCAAGGCAGCTTAACTCTGGGCAGCTTAAAGTCATAAACGCTAAAAAGTCTGCAAACTAAAAGCCGGGCAGCTTTCATTTCTGACGCCTATCGCAATGGGGGGGGGGTGTCTCAGGATATCGCCAACCTAAACCTCTTGTTTGCTGCTGCTAGGAGTAAAGGGCTTAGCACACCATGCAGAACAGCCAAATCGGTTTAGTCATTTTTTATTATGTCCATACGTGCTCATCGCTCGATTCCTGTCGTAGTTGCGTAACGTACGGAAACTGCGCCAGAAGCAGTAAGCCAAAAAATGAGACAAAAACCATCCCAATCTTGCAGTTCATTCAGGCTTCTTTCACACCCAGACTCTGCTTTGTGCCTTCCGCCTTCTCCTCTGCATTCCGTGAAAATGGGTTAATTGTATAACCAGGTTTAATATCTAGGGCAGTTGTTCTCAACCTGTGGGTCGGGACTCCATTTGGGGTCGAACGACCATTTCACGGGGATCGCCAAACAACGCAGTCCGCCATTTTTTCCCCCCTTTTCCTTAGCTGTGCTCCTCCCTTTTATTCTATTGGCTTTCAAAAGCCAATAGAATAGACTCTCTTGAATAGAGTCTAATTCTATTGGCTTTCCAAAGCCAATAGGAATTGTCCAGGCTGTCTCTGCCCTGCTGAGCCCGCCAAAAGTCCCATTCTGCAAATGGGGCTGCACCAGTTGAGTAGTCCTCGACTTACGACCGGTTGAGTAGTCCTCGACTTACGACTGGTTGGGGGTCGCGGCATTAAAAAGGTTGAGAACCACTGATCTAGGGTGACTCTGGCCTCTGTTCTTTGGAAGATAACCGGCTTAAGTTGCCGTGACCAGACTGGATTTCAGGCGACAGCCAGGAGGCATCTGCCTGCGCCGTGATTGGAAAGTTGTCGGCTGTAACATTTTGCTCTCCTGCGATGCTCACCCCTCGGCTGTGGATGACGGGGGAATGAAAAGGGGCCTGGCCTTTGCTTTTTGGGGGGGGGGAGGAAACAAGGCTTGGGCTGCTGGCCGGAGGGAAGGTGCTCTGGGCTCAGGGCAGAGAGGTCAGTCCTATTGGGTGCTGGCCAGCTGGCCGAAAACGGCGAAACCCGGCCTGTTAAAGGGGGGGGGGAGGAATGAAGGTCTTAAACTGCAGGGATTCCCTTGTAGCCACAGAGGGGAGTTCACTGCTTTGAATGGCTTCACTCTTTAGGAAATAAAAATGCTTCTCCCGCACGGCCCTATCTGGGTAGCTGCAGCCAAGTTCGCTAGAACACGGGTCCCCAACTCCGGGGCTGCGGCCTGGTACCTGGGCTGCGGCCCATTCAGAGGCAAGCAGTGTGTGAGTGTGCAGCGCTCTCACAAATGGGGCTTCACCTGCGTGAGTGCGTGCCGCTCACAGGGGAGCATTTCCTCCCCCTCCCCCCGCCAGTCTGCAAAGCTGGAAAGGTTGGGGAGCCCTGTGCCAAAGCGCGAATAGATCAACGTGGGTCAGGAGGAGCGGAAGGGAAGAATCCTTGGGGGACGGACGGGGGCTGTGGGGGGGGGGTGGGGAGGCTGTCACCCCCTTTTAAGACTGCAGAGCTGGAGATGGCCCCCAGTGAAATGCCTGTGAGAAGATGGAGTTGCCTCCCTCGCTTTTGAGTGTGTGTGTGTGTGCGTGTGTGTGTGTGTGCGTGCACACATGCACCTATGTGTGTTTCTTGGAAAGAGCTTCCCATCTTATAAATAGCTGCCTTTAGTCACATAGAGGGTGTCACATGAACGTCCCTGGCAGATGAAGGGGGCAGTGGCACCGCGCCGCGGGGCACCTCGCAAGAAGTGGCAGCCCGCGCGTGAACCTCGCTCTCCTGGCCGAAGACACAGCGGGGCGTCCGTCAACAGAGGAGCGGGCCCAACTGGGCTTTCCCTGTGAACGGCAGCCCTGGTGGTCCTTAAGCTCCCTCTAAACCAGTGTTTCCCAAACTTGACCATTTTAAGGCATGTGGACTTCAACTCCCAGAATTCCACAGCCAGCATTGCTGGCTGTGGAATTCTGGGAGTTGAAGTCCACATGCCTTAAAATGGTCAAGTTTGGGAAACACTGCTCTAAACCAATTAACAGGGAGGGGGGCCCCGCTGTGCTGAGTGCTTGAAACCGGCTTCATTCAAAGGATCCAGATCTACCTGATGTGAGCAGTTAAGGAGCCTGATTGTTTGCAGAAAAGCTCAGCTGCTGGCAGAGGCAGCGGTGGGGGGGGGGGTGCTGCGCCGTATTCCTGGAAAAGTTGCAAGGCTATCCTCATGGAAAGTGCTAATGGCTTTCACTTGTCTGGTGGTGCCCGACTGACGGGGAATGTCCCCGCTCACCAAGGCAGCCCACGTCCAGCTCAAGCTGTTTCCGGGCTAGGAGGAGCCCAGGAGAGGGGGCTTCCCTTGCTCCCTTCTTCGCCTCCTCCGGGCTCCCAGGAGCCATTTGGACCCTGGAGGTATCGGAGGAACAAGCCTCTGTGGCCGTCAGGGGGCTTCCTACTCTGGCCCGGAGCGGCCCAAGCGAAGGGAGGTCCCGGGTTCCGTTCTCTTGCTTGCTGTTGGAGCAGTGCAGCATGGGCCAAGGGAGTCCAGCCCTCCCTCCCCCCAACCACTCTGCCTGCGCTTGACTGCTGGAAGGAAGTCTGACTTCCTCTGCTTTTGACCCCCCCCCGCCGCCATTCCTTTGCCAGGTGCCCCCTCAGTGGAGTGGAGGGGGGGCCCTTTGCCTCGGGCCACGGACTGTGTTCATTACCTCGTTGCGGCTAGGTCAGAGGTGGGGGGCTCCTCACCTGGCCCCTGGAGCAGGCGGGTAATAATAAAAAGCAGGGCCCTCTAATTCTTTCCTTCCCAAGAGAAGACGGTGCCCGCGCGGGTCCTTCTCCCGTGACATCCTCTCTTCCACGCACCCAGGGCTGACTCAGGGCCCCCCTCCTCCCTGCCGGGCGGTGCCGTCTCTTCTCTGGACCGATCCTGAGTTTCTTAGCCTGGTTTCAGGCATCGCCCTTCAGTTCTCCCCCCACCTTTTTCCTGGGGGGGGGGCACGGAAAGAAAAGGGAGGAGCCAGCAGGAGCGTCCCTCCTGACGTTTAGGACGGTTCATTCAAGGTCCGGAAAGAGAGTCTTCCGGTGGAGGAGAGTTACTGGAAATCAAAAATTAATCTTTGCTGGGAGCACCGAAAAGAAATCTGCACGTCCTTCCAGGATGGAAGAGGCCACAAAAATGCCAGGCTCCCCTTTGTCCCTGTGGGCCCCCCCCCACCCCTGCCCTGGCTGCACATGGTTGAGAAAAGCTGCTTCTCCCCCTGCTCTCCGCCTGTTCCCTCCTTTCTTTCCCGTGCCCAGGGCCTCTCTCTGCTCCTCCGGCTGCTCCCTGCATCTTGGAATGGTGCCCCAAGGAAGAGGGTCCAAGTTCTGCCTTCGCAGGTTCTACTACTCCGTGCCTTTTCAACGTCTCAACGGGGCCTGGTCTTCTGAGCCCCGCGGCAGCTGCGTGGGAAGGTCTGGCCCTCCAGACCTCAGCAGCTCGGCTGGTGTCGCCCTGGGCCGTCTCCTGATCAAAGCTCCTGAGGCCTTCCTCCGTGGTCGCCTCTGTGGCTCTGCCACTCTGGTTTGGACTTTGCAGATCGGCGGGAGGCGTTCTCGCCCGCACGTTGAACTGCCCAATCCAGCCGTCCCGTTTCCCCATCTCTCTCTCTCTGAATCGGCGCAGTCTCGCCCTCCCTCGGCTGCCTGCACGGGGCCTGGGAACCGTGGCCTGTTGGGTGATTACCATCCGGTTAGCTTGATTGCATCTTAACTGCACAAGTTCTGCTCCCCCCCCCTCGCTCTGTTTACCCGTTAGCTGCGCTGGGCCAAGAGTTTTCAAGGGTCTTTACTTTTTAGTGGTCTCATCTATGTCAGGAAAAAAAATGGAAAGCTTGCTTGGTCTGGACAGGGGAAAAAAAAGGAGAGTGACATTGTGCAGGCCCTCCACAAGAATTTGGCTACGATGAGGAGAGCGAAAGTTTCCCTGCTCTGGATGGAACTTTTCCTGCAGAAGCGTTCCAGGGCTGCTGTCCTCCTTGCTGGGAGGGACCCGCACTCCTGCTGCTGCACCGCTGGAGGGCGGAGGGAGGGTCAGGTGGCCTTTGCTGACCCCCTCCCCTGTTGGCTGCACAGGAGGAGAATGGGGGTGGGCGGGTGGGTGGGTGGGGAATAAGCCATTTCACGCCTGCTTGCCTGTGTTGGCGAAATAATATTTATTCATTTACTGTATATGCTGCCCGTCTCGCCATCTGACGACTTTGGGCTTAATTTTCTTAAATTTAAATTTTTCTCTGGGACCCAGTATGTGAGCCCTCAAAACACTTCTCAAAGGATAGATATTTCTGCCTTATTTGTTGGGGGGAAAGGAAGCCGGAATGCAATTTAGAAATAAAACATTTTAAAAAATAGCAGGGATGGATTCTATGGGTGGATGGGTTGCTCAGCCGAAGAGGGTGGACTGGGCTTCCCCTCCGGGCTTGAAGTGAAGTGTTTAGGCTCTTAAGGCTTTTTTTTTAATTTTTTTTATTTTATTTTTTTTTATTGAAAATTTTTATTTTTTAAAACATACAATCATT